ATTTAAGTGATCCTCCCCTTATAGTATATGCTGTTTTTTCCCATTATACTGACAGTGGAAGATATAATGATGCCCCTTTTTACCATCCCCACTCCAGTGTTACTATCTACTTCCTAGCCCACATTTAAGTTCTCATGTAATTTGAACTGGACGCAGAAACGCAGGACACAGTGTATCGTTCTCGATCCTTTTTGGACGCAAATTATTCGAGTGGGAATATCTACAAAGTCTTTTCTCTCAGCGTCACTCTGTGTACGACATAAGAAACTCTGAGGGAAAGCTGGCCTTGCCCAAACCAAACACCAATTATTTGAAACGAAGCTTCTCTTACAGCGGGGCCATGTTATGGAATAAATTTCCCAAAAATTTAAAAAATGTTTCATCCATTAACCATTTTAGGCGAAATCTTAATGTGGTCGATATATAGGATTCCCACACGGCAATCATGTAAAGCAGTTGATTAATCTTAGTTTTTAATTTGTAACTGATGATTTTCCGTGTTTAAATAAAGATTTACATACATATATAAAATTGAGCGTCTTCTATCCAACCTACATTCTTCAAACTTGGTGAATACAATCTTCTGCTCAGCGTTTTAACGTTGCGATTCATGAATTGCGTAAAATTCGATTTTGGGACAAGTTATTTGCCATGGGATTCCCATACAAACACTGTAATTTCTGACCGCTTTGCCTACCCGTAAAGATGGTGCCGTGACAAGGCCGAGCTATTCGTCGCCTGTCTGCGAGAAGTGCGCAGTGCAGCGATATTTCCTATGCTTTCATCAAAAGCCTGGCTCGGCCACTTTCAGATGAAATGAAAGAAACAGCGACTCATTTTTTCTTCCGGCGCTTATCAGTACAATTTTTTAATTCACAGGTGCTGTTTATGTTGCCGGTTGACCTGTTTACTTTTGATGAAGGAGATGCGAAAATGTAAGTTGCTTCCGGTGAGCGCTAAGACACACGACCCGAGTCTGGTGGGTAAACAGTTGAAGGGTCACTAAATGCCAATGGTTCCCCACCCTCGTTAGATATTTTGAATTGGTCATCGTTTAACGTCGTCCAATCAGTAAAGGGCAATCAGCGTGACAGTTTCTGGCTGGCAAATGAGAATCTTGCTACGTATACCAGACGTTAAAATACTGTGGGATTTTGACTTTCTTCCAGGGCTAGCTCCGGTCCGTTTGAATGGATTTTCGATTGGAAGGTACGAGGAGAATCGTGCATCTTTTGACCTTAAAGCTGCGAAGTTTGAAAGCCGAGCGATGCGATTTTCGGGGTCAAAATCGCTCGGGCGCTTGAACTCTTTCAAAACAAGGCTTCCACCCTTCTCTTTCTTTAATGCATTAAAAAATGCACGAAATCAGACTTATTCAAAATCGCTAAAAAAAAACATTTATGAGGCAAAAGGACGACTATGCACCACAAGTAAAGTAATTCAACGTTTATTTCGTCGCGCTTCACAAAAGAATATACTATTTTTTCCCGTGTGATTTGGTCGCATTAATTTTTATGGCTTTAATGCTTTAATAGGTTTACTCCTAAAACAGTTAAAACTATACTAGGAGTTTTTACAGTATATAACTTAGAACTATATTTAAAAGTATTAAAATGGTGATGACAATAACAAATAATAACATTGATTATAAAACAATAGTATTTCTAAAATAAATAATTAAAATTAATATACACCGCATAAATAACNAGTAAGTGAAGTTAACAGGTATTTTCTTTCGAGTAATTCCGAGGTGGTAACATTTGGACACATTGAAACAGAGCTGCCAGGTCCTCGACCATTGGTACAGAAGATCAAGGTCTTGTTGTAGAGTAAGACAGTCCTGGTGTGAGGCTACCTCTCTGTAAAGAACACAATCGTCTGCAAATAGCCGGAGCTTAGATTGGATTGAGTTTGATATGTCATTTATGAACAGTAGAAATAGTGCTGGACCCAAAACAGAGCCTTGAGGCACTCCAGACACAACAGGTCTTGACGAAGAGTGAGTACCATTAACTGAGACACTTTGCTTGCGGTTTGACAAAAAGGCCCTAATCCAATTAAACATGTTACCCCTTATTCCGTAGTAATCAAGCTTTATAAGTAATCTTTCATGGGGAACAGTGTCAAATGCCTCTGAGAAGTCTATTAGCAACACATCTGTTTGGCTGCGGAAGTTTATACCTTTGTGGCCCAGTCATGTATTGCAGAAATCAGTTGAGTTTCACAAGAAAATTTTTCCCTAAATCCATGTTGATGGTTGATGAGGATATTATGTGAGGAAAGATGTTTCGCCACGTGACTGAAAATAATGTGTTCCATTACCTTTCAACAGATTGAAGTTAACGAAATGGGGCGGTAGTTGGCAGGTTCTGATTTATTACCCTTCCTAAATTTGCTGTCACAAAGGCATTTGACCGATCAGATGGAATTTCATTGCATTCATATGACTGCTGAAAAATAAATGCTAGCCAGTGAGATATTGATTCAGAAAGTTCCTTTAGTACTTTTGCTGGAATTTCATCCGGTCCACATGCCTTCCTTCCGTGTAGTTCTGAGGGAAAATAGAATAAGTTGAGACTTCCGGACACAGCTTGGATTCAGTTCCTAGGATGACATCAGGATTGTATAAGTCAATGAGAGCTTGGAATTTTGTAATATGGTCAAATCCTTCAAGGCCATTGCAGTTTAAAATCATTACGGAGATTTTCTTTCTGGGCTTAAGCTGTTCTCTTCGACTTCTTGAGCCAGAGCTCAGCATGGGCTGGTTTCTTGCGGTATAAAAGTAGAGTTCATATTTGGCTGTACATCTATATCAAACATTTCGAAAATAGATTCGCAAAACCTGACAGGTATTCAAGCTTATGTTAACACACCGATCTGAAGGATTCTTCGCTGTTTAAAGCGTCTTGATTGAAGAACAACACGCAAAATNAAGGTTTGTTTTTCCCAAAATTTAATATCACATTTATTAACTCCAAGTAATTTTGTATTTTTCAAAAGGGTTGGAGTTTCACCACTCTGTGAGGCCCCGCATTCACTGAGAAGTTTTCAACACTTTGGCCCATAATTTCAGCTGTGCAATACATTGCTTTGCAACGTGTACAATTCTGAGCTAATTTTTTCATATATATTATTAATATGTAAAAAATACCGAAAATCATAGAAGAATAAGATGATTCACAACATTTGAAGATTTACCGCAGAAGTCCTTGTTCTGATGAAAGTTTCAAAAAACGTGGTTCACTCATCAAGTTTAAATTGAAATAGTAATGCTTTTTTAACTTGGCAGTTACTGGTTGTGAATATATGAACCTCTGGGATACTGGTGCAGGGCACTATCAACTGAATTAACACTCAACTGGGAGCTGAATTTTTTTCAGGCCTTAATATCACTACGGCTTAACCCTATCACATTTAAAGAGTGCGTGACAAGCATCTACTTTCTCCTTTCAATATCACCCTTAAATCACACATTAAGGTTAGAAGAAAAAAGGAAATGATCACCAACAATGAAAGCTCTCGATTGTCAAACAAATTCTTGTCAGTATCTTAGGAAGTGTTTAGTGAACATCATGGAGAGTAATGCAAACTGATGTAAGGGTGTTAAGGATTAAGTGGTGTTCATCAGTCTCATGTTCATTTCTTTAACTGCAGTTCACATATATGACTTTTTTATATTCATAAACATTGACTTATCACTTGCTCCCAGTTGGCTTGTCAGCTCAGGTGGTAGAGCACTGCACTGATATCGCAGAGGTCATGGGTTCAAATCCCATACTGGCCTGAATTTTTTTCAGGCCTTATTGTCACCAATACTTAAGTAGTGTTTATTACTGTGAAGATCGCACTCATATTCCACCTTTTACCCTTTAAGAACACAAGATAAATTTTCATTAGTGCCACTTTATAGTTGAATAACACAAAAGGGTTATCAAGTTAGCAAGAAGACAATTGTTATGACAGTTTTAAATTTTAATTAGGCTGTTTGCTTCAATGTGAAAATTCATTTCCACCAATATACATTCATTTCAATGTGAAGTACATTCTTCATAGCTATTATACAATCAATCAAGACAGTTCTCAGCTACATGTACATTAGCAACTTTAGAATTCCAATCAAGTTTGTGTTCCAGTAATTGCCTATCCTTCTATTGCTTCCTGGTTTAAGCACTGCGGGATGTAGGTTTGCATAAAGCTAAATCATTGAGTGAATTTTGGACAGTTATTGTGTTCATAATTCTTTGGCCTGCTCTTAACAGAATTCCCTGGCGATAGTCTCTGAAGGTATCTGCAACCAAAAGGTGTTCTTTGTATTTGTCTTCAAACACCCTTACTAATCTTTCTCAATGCTTGTTTGGAACATGGTTATGTATTCTGAAAGCCTGTCGCGTTCCCGATGCTACAGACACATGGTGTTGTGCACTGGAGTTCGCCAGTATAACCACAGTGTTGAACTTTAGACAAGTAACAGCATGAAACTCTTTATTCACTTAAGCGGGCAGTCTTTGTACAGCACAGGTGGTAAAAACTATAGAATGGATACATGAAGGTTCAATATAAGGAAAACCAAGAGACTACGAAACTCGAAATGATAAAAATGAGGAATATTACAAGTGTAACTTTCATCAAATCTTGACTCCGCGGTAGAGAATTCCTAAACTCCGTTTGGCTCCGAAATGCTTTCGCTGCAGTGACTCCTCGCAACTGAACTACTTGCTAATAGAAGGCGAATTTAGTTCTTACATTTTGATGTAGGGGAAATAGAAATGAACAGTGCTTTGTGTAGCCAGCTTCGAGTGGATATTCGCTAGTCATGGAATAGAAATCAAACAAAGCTCGCAAACAAATTTAATAGAAAGTCATTGAAAGTTTCTTAGTGTCTTTGTGCTAAAAACGGAAGAGTTACATAAGTACAAAAAGATTAGACTTGGTTTCCGTAAACGTGACAAAGCCATTTCTGCAAGAAGATCTGAACAGCTATGTTATCAGATACAAAGGCTCTTTAAAATCCTGTGGGAAAAATTAATTATGAAATTGAAATTTTATTGACATTGAAGAAGGCTGAAACCCCATCTTTTAACACCTGCATTCCTCAAGTGGTTTAGCTTCAAAGGCTTACCGTATTTACTCATGTATGAGTCATACTCATATAAGGCAACCCCCCAATTTCAAGGTTAAACATCAGATTTTCATCATTTCTAATAAAAGAAGTAAAATTCAGACTGATAGAAATTTGCCAAAAAGTTAACCTCTTATTTCTGTGAATGTATTGAAAACACAGTGAATTAAAAAATATGCAGAGCAAAAAGTAACCATGTGCTGTGAATTTATTAGCACTTATTTATCTCACAATGATTTAAGCAAACACAAGTGCTTCAGTTTACTAGAGAAGTACTTTACTATATTTTTCAAATCACATTGAAAATGAAATCTTGCTTTTAACTGACAGTTAAAGTAGTACAAAGTTACACCAAAGAGCTTTGGAGGACCGCGTGTAATGAACGAGACTTCCAACAGCCTTTGCCAGGTCAATAAGCTTCTGTAATTGTTCGATGAAAACAAAATCTCTGCACCGTAAACAGCAGCAAAGCTGTGTTAAGGCCACTTAAAGTTCATTATTTCAAACTTTTTCCTTGATGAAGATTAGCTAAAAACTGACAAAATGCAAACACAATTAGAACTGGTTTTTTAAACTCAGTTTTTCAAATGGACTTCTGGCAATCATTATGCTAATTTTTTGGATTGCTTGACAGGTCTTTGTATAAGTCGAGAGTGACTTTTTGGGCTGGTTTATTGGTCATAAAAGGTTGACCTATACACAAGTAAATATGGTAACTGCCATTGCATTCCCTAGTCAGTTTAGTTAAAATCATTTTGTTCCACATTATGCTCATTTTATTCCACAATTTAGTCTAAGGTGATTAAGTGAGGATCATGATCCTGTTTCATGCACACATTTTTTAGAGAAAAATATTAATCCATGTGCAATGTGTTCTTAGAACAGTGTTTCACATGCCACTTTACATGTCATTTCACCTGTCACTTCAAACATTACATGCACACCTCACAGGTCACTTAATGTCTCTTTGCATGCCACTTGACATAGTACTTGACATAACACTACAAATGTCATCATATACGTCACTTCACATGTCACTTCACATATCACTACACACATCAATTCACACGTCACTTCACACATCACTTGACATATTACTACACACATCACTTACATATGTCACTTCACCACTTTTCATGTATCACATATTAATTTAGGGCTTAATGATGAATCATCTTTAAACCTTTTCAGCCACCCTCTTAGTCAGTTCACTACCCACTGAAATCACTTCATACCCACAATGGAGTTACATCTTTTCATGAATGACATTAATGTCTGGCATTCTTTCCATAATAAATATATTAATTTTCACCCAAACAATTCGACTCTGTGCAATAGTTTTTCTTGATGGTGGAAGTTACCAGATACTGTCTTAAAATGTTATGTTTTTGTTTCTGGAATTTTTTTTATAAAACTTCCTCTTCTTGTAGGTTGTTGAGCAGTTTAAAGTTTTGGCCATTTTTGACTTTGATCATACCCTTGTGGATGGCAACACAGACACATGGATAACAAAACTGCTTCCTTCAACCATGCAGATTATTCGAGAACATCAACGGAATGGTTGGTGTTGGACTAATATCATGGACAAGGTCTTTGGGATTCTTCACGAAGAAAATTTAAGCAAGGATGACTACGTAAGGTGTTTTGAATCTCTACAATTCACAGAAGGAATGAAGGATACTTGTCACTTTCTGCAGAGCAAAAAAATACCAACAATAATTATATCTGACTCAAACAGTTACTTTATTGATCACTTACTGGAACGTGACTCTCTACAAAATGCTTTCTGTTGCACGTATACAAATCCAGCAGTATGGCACAGCAATGGACGTTTACATGTCGAGCATCATCATGAACATGATTGTAAACAGTGTCCACAGAATCTCTGCAAACAGAAGGTTGTTCAAAAGCATCTGGCAGATCATAATCTAAGTTATGAGCATATTGTTTATGTTGGTGATGGCCACGGGGATCTCTGTCCCTGTCTGGCATTGAAGAAGGGAGACTACATTCTAGCAAGGAAAGAGTATAAACTTTTAAAGTGTTTGCAAGGTGAAAACCAGTCAGAGGTTAAGGCAAAAGTTGTTCCATGGGAAAGTGGCTTTGAAGTTTTGAAGTTGTTTCAAAAGTTATTTGAAACTTAAATAAATGTTATTTTTGCAATAATTATTTCAATTTTTTAAAACTTTATTGCTTCACTTCCCTTATCTTCCCTTGGATCCCTTTAGTACTTGAATCACCGTGCAAGTCTTTCAGGAAAATATGTGGGGTATGAATTCCTATTTCATTCAAATTATGCAGGCATGACTTTTCCTTTTTTTGGTGGCAAAATTGCTTTCAGGAGCTCAAATTTGGAGTCTAAATTTTCAGCATCTCCACCAATTGGGGACAATTTTTGTACAGGCCGTTCCATATACCTTTAACTACTTAAAAATTGGGAAGCACGGATATTACTGATGGAACTTTGGTCAAAAAAATTTAAAATGTAAAGTAATTAAATGGCTTATTGTGCATAAATTATCATAACTTTCTATCATTTATTTAAGCCTTAAATTACCAAGAGCAATCAAGAGATGATAATTATCTCCTTACAATTTCAATTAAATATTAAGCAGAAAAGTGATGGCATGAGAATAATAAAGAAACATATCAATTAGGGAATTAGCAGTTTATCCAATACCAAATTCTTCAAACTAACTTACAAGAATTGTTCAGTAAACAGTAAAGAGAATTACTAATGAGTCCTTGAAGTGAAGGGGTTAATACAAAACTGATTGCAAAGTACTTATCATGTGCCTTGGGGCCACACGAATTGTTGCCTTGGATTCTTACTTAAATGTGATTTATATTATATCATTTTTGATCATTTGACATGAGGGTGCCCATAATTTGCTGTAGTGTGTTACTTTTGTTTCAATCCAAATGGAGAAGTGTGATTTTGGGATTTTCCCAGAAAAATTACTAACAAGAGAGACATGTCACCTCTGTGATTTGGTGAAAATAAAGTCTGTGGATATTATAAAGTACAAGAGAATCCTTTTTTTTTTTTTAACCCTTTGTATCTCACAAATCCAGATAATTTGAACCTAACTGACTTCAATTCCTCACTCAACCATGTTAACATTATTCTAGTTTCTTGAACCTTCTGATAATTTTGCAATTATTACTTTTGCTAAGGAGGTAAAAATATTTGGGATTCCTCTTTAAAAACAAATTATGGGGAAACAATTACCAAGGATTATGAATTCAAGGGTTTTGTTTTTAATTACAACTGAAATTTTTAATTAAAAGCAAAAAAACAAAAATTGTAGGTCATGCTAGAAATTTGACTAAGTTTCTATGGAATAATTCTAAAAAGTATCATGTTTATCCTCTTTTTTGATGTTTGTAATCAGTTTCTTAACCCTTTAACTTCCAAAATCAGAATGCTAATTATCTCTTCTAGATGTTACACATATCCTTGCAAATTAGTTACCAGAATTGGTGTTACATCAAGATAACTTCAGCCTAATAAGTTTGAGTACATTCTCACTACCTATTTGTTAAAAAATGAATGGATATTATAGGGAGAGGTTAGGGAAGTACGTTTTTTATTGGGGGGGGCCAGGGTATTTTAGAAATTATTTTGCCAAAAAAGTCGAGGCCCTCCACTTTCCAGATTGGATTAATGCATGACCCTTCATAAATGCCTGAACAAAAGGATCTGACCCTCCCCCCCACCTCCTCCAAAACAAAAACAACCGGAAGTAAAATAACTGACCGGAAGTGTTGCTCGCATAACCGTGTCTGCGCACAAAGCAGTTAATTGCGTGGCGTTGCACGGTGAAAACTCCAAAATGGGCATGGATGTGCGAGGAATAGAAAGAGGGAAATGCGCTTGTGGAGAATGCTAGGATTTCATGAGGTCAGATGGAGCAACTTGTAGCTATTGTGGCTGTTTGCCGACTCGCCGTTTTAAAAAGGATGCCTGCTACTCCTCTGACTCTGTTGGTAGCACATCGGGTACGGGAACAAGTGAAAGTACAAGTCCAGAGAAGTGGAAAGATGAAGATCTGGGGTGGTTCCTGAACCCAAAGGGCGAATATATTGAGTATTCTAATAGCATTTTGTCAGAAAGGTGAGCTTTATATTGAGTATAGGCGAATGTGAGAAGTGGCAAACTAAGTAAATTTTGCGAGAAGGATGAGACTACCAGCGCTCCACTTCCAACTCGACGACCATATCCCGACTATGGCAAGCTACCAAACTTCCATTATCCCTCTTGGAGTGCAACTCCCACCGATGGCCGTGAGCCGGATGACTTCCAGCCTCGAGCTCAGATTAAGCGATTGTTTGAGGAAAGCGAACTTGTCAGTGGGGACAGTGAGGCTATT